TCCCTGATTTTTTTAAAAAAATTTCATCTTCGTCTTCGTGTGTCCCTGAAACCCTAACCCTAAAATTCCACAGCTGGTTATATAAAATCTCGGATTCTCCTGTGTCTCTTTGTGTCGTGTGAAGAAGAGGATGCAACAGCAGAGGCTCAAACAACAGCAAGCCATGATGCAGCAGTCGCTGTACCAACACCCTGCCATCTTAGCCGCTCCTCAGGTTCTTATTTTCCCCTTCTCTCTCTGTTTGAATAATTTTGTAGTTTAATTCTCGTCTACATGTCTATTTATTTTGTTGGAAATTTTTTATAGGTCAAAATTGAATTCTGATTTTAGTTCAACTGCAAAAAATTGAAATGTTTGACAAAATGTTGGTTTATTTCCTTTGTTAATATTTATTTGCGGGCTCTTTTTGGTTGATCTGCGTATGATTTTCTTTTACGGTGATCCTAAGGATTGAATTTTTGGCAGAAATTTTGTAAGTTTTTGGGGGTTCTGCTGGAATTATCTGAAGTATTCCGCAGCTCATTTATCTTGTTGAAAGTGTTCGTGTTATGTTGTCTTCTTTTTGGGCACTTTTTTATTATTATCCATGGAGGAATCACATTGTTGTACGTATAATATGACAAACTCTACTGTTTGGAAACTTGTAGTTTGTCCTGCTTGTTATTGTTTCCTTGTTTTTATTAATCCATTATTCAACGAGGGCATGTAAAGTTTGCATAATGAACTGAAGGAACAATATCAGTTTTGGTTTGATTACCATTCACCCTTAAGCAAAAACTGTAGTTACTATCACATATAGTGGTTCTATGTGCTTCATCCTATTAAAAAAAAATATTAACGGGGTTGGCTTTTTTATGCGTTGGATATGTATTAAAGCTTATGTTAAGTCTCGGGAGAACTTGAAGATGAAGGGGATTGTTATTATATCATAGGTTTCCATCTTGTAGATTTATGCAATTGAAGACTGTGGTCTTCATTTTTTTTGTTTCAACCATTTTGTTTGCATATGCATCTCGTTAAGTTTTTGTGAGGAGTGCAAATTCATTACTCTAGGTTTTTTTCTTCTTTTTTGCTTCTTTTTTTTTACATTTTTATTTTGCAGATAGAGCCTATCTTGAGTGGAAATCTGCCTCCTGGGTTTGATTCAAGTACATGCCGCAGTGTGTGAGTGTTGTATAGATATTTTCCGTTTTTCCTTTTTTGTTTATTTTATTTTCACATCTAGGTTTCTTTGAACTGACTGAAAATAATTGTTTTCTTGCATGTAAGTTTAGTTCATAAATATGTACTGAGTCCTTGTATGTTTCGACACATCTATCATGTAGGCAGACTACATTTCTCAGTCATGCTATTGAATTGTATGATATAATATTTTAATTCATGGGAAAATGCAGGTATGTTGGAAATATTCACCCACAGGTTACTGAACCCCTTCTTCAAGAAGTTTTCTCCAGTACTGGTCCTCTTGAAGGATGCAAGCTCATAAGAAAAGATAAGGTGGAGTTTATTTTTGCCTATTTTGTTTGCCTTTCATTTGATGGGGAGGTTAGGACAGATGATAGAACATCTTAGTGCCACCAAAGATTCCATCAGTTTGTTGTGTTAAGCCCTTTAGCCCTCACTCGCATTTATTTATATTTTATTTTCGGATAAGCTGTAGCTTCATATGATTAAATTCTGATAAAATTTTTGGTAATCTGTAATAGTGATCTATTAGATGTTCCTTGGTGAACTTTCTTCTTACATGTTAGCTCCATTGTCTTCTCTATGCAGTCATCCTATGGATTTGTTGACTACTTTGATCGTAGGTCAGCTGCTTACGCTATTGTGACTCTCAATGGCAGGCATCTGTAAGTATAAATCTTAACAGAATCATGGTTGGCTCTCTTTTTGGGGAATTCTTTGTCTCAATATGCTTCTTATTCAGGTTTGGGCAGCCGATCAAAGTTAATTGGGCATATGCAAGTAGTCAGAGGGAGGATACATCAGGTTTGTATATGCATCAGTTTTCAGGGAGTGATGTGTTACTTTCAAATCTTTAATTTCTTATGCTATGTTATTTTGGCATGCAGGTCACTTTAATATTTTCGTTGGTGATCTTAGCCCTGAGGTTACCGATGCTACACTGTTTGCGTGTTTTTCTGTTTATTCAAGTTGTTCGTAAGCTCCATTTCCTTGCTTTTTATCTCCAACAAATCTTGTTTTCCGTTATTCTCTTGATGTCTTTTGGTTTATTGGGATTTTTTTAAAACAGACTCACCTGTTTTAACTTTAATATAATTTGACCTGATTTCTATCACAGAGATGCTAGGGTTATGTGGGATCAGAAAACTGGGCGTTCAAGGGGTTTTGGGTTTGTTTCTTTCAGAAGTCAGCAGGTACTTGAAGAATTCCTTTTTATCATTTTCTTTTTATTTTCCTTCTTGCTGGTTGGGGTCATTACATGATTGTCATTTGTTTGTTTTTCGGTTCAGGATGCCCAAAGTGCGATAAATGACTTAAATGGTATGACAGTGTCCATTGTTTATTTCCTTATACGCGTTGCTTTGATTTTTGTTAATTTAGGAGCAGTGCTGGATCTCTTGTAGCTGTTGGTTGGTTAACTCTCTAACTGTTAAGTTGATATCTCAGGAAAATGGCTTGGAAGTAGACAAATTCGGTGTAATTGGGCCACAAAAGGTGCTACTTCCAATGATGACAAGCAGAGTTCTGATTCTAAAAGTGTTGTAGAGCTGACAAATGGAACATCGGGTGAGCTACCCCATTATTGATGAAACAAGTTTTTTTATAGTTGTCTATGTAGTTGGTGGAAGTAAAATTGTCTCTGTCAAGTTGTCAACCGTTTTTTTTTCTTCATTGTTTGTATAATTTATTTGGATGGTTGGTGTAGCTCTTGTGATTGTTGTTGAATTGTTGTTAGAAATCTATGGATGATGATGCTTGATATATGATCCTCACTGTCCTCTCTTTTTGCCATATTTGTATTCTCCTCATGTTGAGCTTACAATTTTTGTGCTTTTCCCTTGCAGAAGATGGTCAGGAGAAGCCTAATGAAGATGCTCCAGAGAACAATCCTCAGTATACTACAGTTTATGTGGGCAATCTGGCTCCAGAGGCAAGGATTTGTTTTTTTTAAAACTCATACGTTAAAATGTTTGGTCATTTGTCAATCTTACTGTGTAGCTGGTTCAGTGTTGAAACTGGTGAACAAACCAATTCTATAACATCATAGGTTAATTGGGTGTAGTGATAAGATCTGTGGGCAATCAGCTCTGGTGAGCCTGGAACTCCTAAGTGGGCATAACAAATAATTGTATAAAATTTGTCAAATTTGCACAAGAAACGAAGAAAAATGTTTTGAATCTTATTTACTATTAATCTGCAGGTTACTTCAGTTGACCTTCATCGTCATTTCCATTCCCTTGGTGCTGGAACTATTGAAGATGTCCGTGTGCAACGAGATAAAGGTTTTGGGTTTGTGAGATACAGTACACATTCTGAAGCCGCTGTAGCTATCCAGTTGGGGAATGCTAGGTTTCTCTGTGGAAAACCAATTAAGGTATGCTATTGGTGAAGATTACAATTTAGTATAATTAACAACAATTGACTAAAAGGAGAAGCCTGTTGAAAAACCAATATATACACACAAATATGTTTGTGACATTTATATTTTCTAAAGATGTTGTCAAATGATAATTGGCTTGATCATCCTATATTTTTCTTTTTTGGTTACAGTGTTCATGGGGTAGCAAGCCTACTCCACCAGGAACAAGCTCTACCCCCCTTCCACCGCCGGCTGCAGCTCATATGCCAGGTTTCTCGGCCGCTGATCTTGCTGTCTATGAAAGACAAATGGCACTGAGTAAAATGGGTGGTGCACAAGCCCTCATGCTTCCGCAGGGTCAGCATGCTCTGAAGGCAGCTATGGGAATGGGTGCTGGAGCTAGTCAGGCGATATATGACGGCGGCTTCCAGAATGTAGCAACAACCCAGCAACTCATGTACTACCAGTAATGATCAGTTGGAAGACCCCCATTATACCTCAGCACTGAGGAATAAGTACTTGAGAAAACTTGTAGGATATGTAACCGTTTTTCAGTTTCCTTATTTTTATTTTATAGTTTTTCCTTAGTTAGATTGGCGTATCTCTATCACTTATACCTGATCTATGTATGGATACTCTGTTTTTCTTTTTTAACTTCTGGGGGTTTATGATCGGACTAAGATAAAGCATAATCTTATTTTCAGCTTTATGACCTAACGGCCGATTATATTTGAAGCTTGTTTTTCGGTCCCCTCAGGCATTTTCTAGCAATGTATTTTTGTCCATGGGTTGTTAACCATTTCCATCACCAGTAAAAATGGTCCCAATGGACGACAATGTCTTGGTAGTTTCAATAGCTGAGGTTGGTAGGACCACAAGATTTTTAGGATATGGGTGCTCTCTGTAGCTGGACAGTTCATTTTTGGGGGTCACTGTCTAATTTAGGTTAAAGTCTTCAATGGGCCCCCCCTCTGTTCGATTGATGAGAAAGCTTTCTATGCTCTTTTTCAATCCATTCCATTATTATTGTACTAAGCACTATTTTGTAGAATCATTCCATTACTGCACTAAGCACTAAGCAGCACATTCGACAAAAAGATTTGTACCCCATGTCCTCTGTTTAGAGATTACCAGATTTTAATCGTCACAAATTCAACAGAGGCTCTTAATACTTTCTTTGTCGAATCACACCGCAATGATGTTTCGGTCGCCCCCTTAAACACCCTTAGACATAAACTTTAGAGAAATGTTAAGGATAGTCGTCTACACGCCAACTCGAATGGTTTAGAAATACGTAAACAAGAGGACATCTAAATTGACTTAAGATTAAAGTTCAAACTCCACAACCCGCTGCAAATTACTAGAATGAGATTATTATCTTATGTTATTCTGGGCTAGTATCTAATTTAATTGGCATAAATCTTACATGAAACACTAAATCAGAAGCCGACCCTCCTTTCCAAATTTAACTGAAATCCAAGTATAGAATTGTTCTTTATTCTTCAAAAATGTTCCTGTTGTCATCACAGAATACAAAGGTCGATCGATTACAACTTAGGCAAAATTTTCCTTTTTTTTTCTTCTTACTTTTTTGGTTTATAGGTAAACAAAAAGCTGATAATTCTCATATATATGTATTTAGTGTAAGGCCGCCTATGTACTGACTGTTAAATCACAAGAATCCCAGTTGAGAAGATTTGATCTCTTGAACAAGATGACCCTGAAACTTCCACAGATCTTAAAGCTTCTGATCTGCACTGTTCTTTGCGCTCATCCATCATTATCTGCGTTGCTCTGCATTCTGTGCTACAAAACGCACTCTCTCCTCTGTAAACCACACAGAAAACATATATTAATCACAAACCCAACATCAAATTCAACAACATGGGTTGAACCAAGCATTTACAATGAAACATAAACAAGAGAAAGTAATTGTGGTTATACCTGTACATGTATATGTCTTTGCCATGGAGGTTTTTCTTGCACAAATGGCATGAACTGAGAAAATCCGAGGTGGGAAAAACAGAAGCAAGATTGTTATCATTACAAGTCTGCAAATCATCCTCCACATGATGGTGCATGGAACTGGTTTTGCAGTCACCTCCATCATAGTAAACCCTAGTGAAAGACTTGTTGTGTCCACGCTGAGTCACATAAGTATAATTCTCCAAGCTATCTTCCTCAAACTCCTGGCGAACCCTGGTAGAAAACCCATCACAGTTTTGAGCAGAGCTTACAGGAATTGGCTCTGATTGGTTCAGGTTTTGACCACAAACCGCATACTTCGCCAAAATCTCACGTCCATTATGGCTTGACTTTTCCAAGGCAGCAATTATGCCCAACCCAACACCACCAAGATCATAATTCTTCAACCCTCTGGGGCTAGAAGATTGCATCTTGAGGTCCAATGGACTTCTTGGGCTTGTCTTGGCCATGTCGAAGAAAAACCCGGCACGGTTGCCGGAAACTAGCAATTCCGACAGCTTCCCGATCATTGGAAATGGTCTCTTGCCACACTTCAACATAAAAATATTTGGGTTACCAAAATTGATATGAAGCAGAATGAAATTGAAGCGGTTTGGAAATGCTATTTTGCACAAAATGTGTGTTTTAGGTTCTTCAATATATGAAGGAGGAGTGGGTAGGACTTAGCCCATGGTTTGGTTTGGAATTATATGGGTGATGATTGTTTTTCAAACACCCATGAAATCATTGAGTTGCTTTTACCTTTTTCTTTTCTTTTCTTTTCTTTTTTTATAAAAAAAATTATTATAAAACTGATTCCAATAAAGGTCACTTGTCAATAGGCCAATTTTTTTAGAAAATGTCCCTTTCCGATTATTGGGGCCACATGCTTAGGGGTGTGGCCCACCATAAGATTCCTTGGGCATTATCACCGTTGGACTCGTCGCACGTGTCGACGATCCAAGGCTATTGGGCATGGCAATTATTACTAAACCACTAAAGAGTTGTGTGAGCCCACTGAAAACTGAGGGCCCACTTCTGGCAGTGAAAGTGATGCGGGCCTGGTTTCTTGTTTGCATCACTAAATTACTAGAATACCCTTGCATTGTGATATTCCCATCGAAGGACAAAAATACATTTTGTTTTGAGCATTAGCTGTCTTCTATGTTTTATATTCTTAACTTTTAATTGGGCAAGTAAAACGTGTAGCTTTCATTTCATATGTAAATTTCGCGTTTCTTTGAGAAAAAAAATTGGGAGTATTTTTCTCACCATTTTAATTTAAGGTGTAAGTTCATCATAATTCTTCTCACTTGATATGTGTTTATAAGCATAATCATAGTTATACAAATCAAATTAGAAAATTGATCATAGTTATGCCTATGAACACTTGTTAAGTACTAAGAAGGATGATAAGTATACACCTTGAGTTTAAGTGGTGAGCAAAAATATTTTAAAAAAAAATTGTTTAAACATATTAGGAAAATAAAATCTTAAAGAAAAAAATTAATTTATTGTATCACAATTGATTTAAATGGAGAATTAACTTATTAATATGTAGAATTTAAAAGAAATTATCATCATTTCATAGGCTTATTATGTAGTATGTATTTTTATGAAAACATACCGTAATTTTTAGTATTATATATTAATTATGATCTTAGTTATTACCGTCTTCAAGATATTTTAATAAAATAAATTATAATTTTGTCTTTAAATGTGTGCCAAGCTCCTACGGTTGGGATTCTGAAAATAAGTTAAGCTATTATTTTGAAATTTTTAAGATTTTTTATTTTTTGAAAAAAAAATGTATGAGGTGAAATTATTTTATTTATATTTTGGGTAATGAAGTAGGTTTGGGGAACACCAATCGAATTGTACCAGAAGAAAGGGAAAGGCTTACTATTATATTAACTAGGACAATAAACAATACTGGGGGTGCGTAATTGTATTGAATGTGAGGCCCAATATGGGGATTTAACATAGAGACGCTTTTGTCATAAGCAGAGAAAGCTCCAAAAACATCAATAAACCAGATGGGACCAGAAACATGAGTGGCGGTCTGTGATTAGACGGCTCAGGTGGAGCCACGTGGAGCTGAAGTTGTATAGTATTGCCTGTGGCCGGAGTAAAACCGCAGTCGCCAGTCGCAAAATTGACAATGACCTCCTCAAAAAGAATCATTTTTTTACAGGAGAGGGCGTCAAAGATGTTGATAACATTCAATTATTAATTACAATCCAAATCCAAAAATAAAGGCTCAAATGTTCAAATGGTACTTGTGTTTTATCTTATAGGCCAATTTAGTCCCTGTGTTATCAATTTGGCCAATTTGGTTATAGTGTTTGTATCTGTTAGACAATGTAATCCATTCTCTTAAAAATATAATATTTAAAATATTTAAAATTAATTAAAAAAACTGTAATTGATTATAAAATTTTAAATTCAATATGAAAATGGAATATATATTTTTTTTAAATTTCACCTTCCCCAATTTCACACACACACCTCAACCACCTCCCAAACCCAGCCAACCTCACCACCACCACTCCAACCCCAAACCCATAGCCATCCTCACCACCATTCCAACCCCACCTAAACCACAACAACTCTCTCTCTCTCTCTCTCTCTCTCTCTCTCAGTCTCACGTCCATTTACTTACACAAAGCAAAGTGCTTAAAGTGGCATTTTTTCTGCTTCTGATGCCAGCCAATAATGCATCATATAAAAATGGTAAGCCCCCCCCTCCCCACCGCCTTCTCATCATCGAAATCCGGTGAAATACAAGGACATGTTCAAGGACAAAAAATATAAATAAAAGATTAAAACACGTAATAGTCCAAGGACATGTTCGGAAGAATTTTTGGAATGACTTAAAACAATTTTTTTACAACTAAAAGCGCTTCTAATTGCATTTGGCAAAGCAAGTGAAAAGTGTTTATGAGTCGTAAAAGTGTTTTTTGAAGAAGTACCCATGCCATGCTTCTTTAGAAAGCACTTGAATTTTTAACAAAAATTTCAACATTCTTCTAATAAAAGTGCTTATGATAAAAAATGCTTCCTATAGAAACAATCCCAATAGGCCCTAAATTATTCTAATTTGAGAATCGAACTTCCGTGTAAAGGGACATAAACACTCCCCCAACTAAGGTCTGCAACTTCAATTGTTTGTTTTTAATTTTTTGGTGTGAGATGCAAGATGTTGACCGCCACCAATTTATATTTTAGTTTTACTTTCACCTTAATGTTTGAAAGCGATCTAAACGTTGTCTTTGTATGGACTTTGTAGCTACTCTTTTCTTGTATAGACAAAATTGATCAACATCATCACCTCTCTTAATTGACCTCAAGTGTATGGATCACATCAAAGCCGGGGCAAGTAACTTGAATCAAGACCCATTTTGATGAATGGGTCTGTGAGAGTATTGGGCCGGGCTGATAGGCCCCAATACTTGTAAGACCGTGCTGATAGTCTATGTTTTTCCTAAATAATGATTTCCAATTTATGCTAGAAACAGTCTAATATTATAATTACATGCTCCAAAAACTAACAAATTCGAGACGAAATTGATGTACGGGTTAACGTGAAGGACGATCCATGGACGTTTTGCGATAAAATAAAAAACCATATTGCTTAATATAAAATAAAGTGATTAAGAATTTTATAATGTAGACCTTTGTATATTGGTGTTCACATCACAAAGGGTTCCTTTTATTATTTAATTTAACGTTCACATGTATTCTGGCCTTGTACCTCGTACTAGTGTTCGAGTTCTATAAAGGCTTCATATAGCTTTTTCATATACAAGATTTTAACTTTGTTGGTAGCTCTCGATTGTTGGAACCAACATGGACTGTTTGATGGACACCATTTAATTGCAGTTTCCTTAAAAGAATTTATGTTCATTCATGTATCTTTCTGATTGTGATGAAGATGAGTAATACAACGAAATAAACACATAACTCTGAGTTTTGATATATAATCACACTTGGTATACATTTTGGATAACTTATCTGGTTTTGATAATCATTCCTAGTATAGATTTTGGATAACTTATCCGGTTTTGATAAACAATCACACTTGGTATAGAATTTGGATAACTATAACTATATCGGATTGATGATATCTGCTCTGCTCGGTTTGAACTTCAGAAAAGTTATTCATTTTGGATAAAATTTTAAGTAACACAAACTTTATGATTATCCAAATTTGTTAAACCAGTCATTAATTCAATTCAATCCTTCTGATCAGAATAAAAGTTTGATTAGGATACTTGTAGGAATCACTAATGCATATAAATAGAGGACACTTCTCTGATCATTCTCATATTGTGTTTTTCTTTGTTAGTTCAACAATGGCGATCTCCAAGTTTGCATTTTGTTTTTGTTTATCGATAGCTATGCTTAGCTTGTACGCTGATGCCACCGAAGTTTCACACGATGGAAGAGCCATCACCATTGATGGTAAACGAAGACTTTTGCTATCCGGTTCAATTCACTATCCTCGAAGCACACCAGGGGTAAATTTTCTTCTTAGTAAAATCCGATTCAGTGTTTCTAATGTGTTTTTCTGTAATCAAATTAACTCATTGATATGTTGTGCACATGCAGATGTGGCCAGACTTGATTAAGAAGTCAAAGGAAGGTGGACTAGATGCTATTGAGACTTATGTCTTTTGGAATGTGCATGAACCTGTTCGTCGCCAGTATGATTTTACTGGTAATCTTGACCTTGTCAGGTTTCTCAAAACCGTTCAAGACGAAGGACTTTATGCTGTTCTTCGTATCGGTCCATACGTTTGTGCTGAATGGAACTATGGGTACATGTTCTGTCATAAAAAATTTGTTTCATATTCTTTTACACTAATTTTTGTCTCAAACACAATCTGATTGTTTGCATCTCATCAACAGAGGACTTCCTGTTTGGCTGCATAATCTGCCCGGATGTGAGATTCGAACTGCTAATGATGTTTACATGGTAATTTCATTGACTTCCATTTTATGTCACCAAAATTCTAATATTATGCTAATAAAACAAGTCAAAACCTTTAACCTTCTTTGTTCTTTTTTTCAGAGTGAGATGAAGAATTTTACCACCTTGATTGTTGATATGATGAAAAAGGAGAAACTTTTTGCATCCCAAGGTGGCCCAATTATTATTGCTCAGGTATATATGCATATACATACAATTGTTTTGGATTTATTCATATATTATACAGAAATATATATTTATTGTGATAACTTAAATTTGTTATTATTTTTTTAGATTGAGAATGAATATGGCAATGTGCAATCATACTATGGAGATGCTGGCAAAGCATATATGAACTGGTGCTCAAATTTTGCCCAATCTCTTGACATTGGAGTTCCATGGATTATGTGCCAGCAAAGTGATGCTCCCCAACCAATGGTAAAATTTGCTCGCTCTCTTTTTTTATTCTAAATTATTTATATTAATTGGGGTGTGTATGATTAATTTTTTTATATTCAATTCTTTATTATCAGATAAACACATGCAATGGCTGGTACTGTGATAATTTCAAACCAAATAATGACAACAGCCCTAAAATGTGGACTGAAAATTGGACTGGCTGGTAAGTTCTTGAATCTTACATGATTTTTTTTCTTTTTTTTAAATTATTGATTTTTCTTTTGTTAAAGTTTTCCTAAATTTATATAATGCATAAATCAGGTTCAAGAGCTGGGGTGGTAAAGACCCACTTAGGACTGCTGAGGATCTTGCCTTCTCTGTTGCAAGATTTTTCCAGACTGGAGGAACTTTCCAAAATTATTACATGGTTGGTACATTGATTATTTTAGGATTATTCATAGGATATATATTGTTTCATGTAAAACACTTTTCTTTTCTTCTAACTGTTATGTATCTCTGTGTTTGTCTTTCCTTAGTATCATGGTGGAACAAACTTTGGTCGAACAGCAGCTGCATATATTACCACAACTTATGATTATGATGCTCCTCTTGATGAATATGGTAAGCAAATCGTAGAATTCAAGTTCTACACAGTTCTTATAGTCCTGGCTTTATGATTTCTTACATATTTTTTGGTCCTTTTACAGGTAACTTGAACCAACCTAAATGGGGGCATTTGAAGCAACTTCATGAGATTCTGAAATCCATGGAGTATACTCTCACTCATGGCAATATTACCACCATCGATTTTGGAAACTCTGTTTCAGTAAGTTTATGATTTTGGATTGATTTACTAATTGATGTTTTATAGACTTTACAATTGGCACAGTTACTCATTTTTTGTATAAATATTTATGTATTTTAGGCTACTATGTATGCAACAAATGATACAGCAAGCTGCTTTTTTGGCAATGCAAATTCCACCACTGATCATACAATCACTTTCCAAGGAAACAAATACACCATTCCTGCTTGGTCTGTTAGCATTCTTCCTGATTGCAAAACTGAAGGATATAACACTGCAAAGGTATGCACTAATTATTTCTCAAAATTGCTTCATATATATTAATTATTTTATTAATTTGTTTTTTACCCTTTTTTTAGGTGAACACCCAAACATCAGTTAAGGTGAAAATGGCGAACAAGGCTGAGGATGAACCTGAATCTCTTGGCTGGCTGTGGAGGCCTGAAAACATTGATGACACAAGACTTCAAGGAAAGGGAGAAGTTTCTGCAAATAAACTCATGGATCAGAAGGATGTCGCAGCTGATGCTAGTGATTATCTTTGGTACATGACAAGGTACTATTAAATGTTTTAATTATTTTTGTATCTTTTTTTTTCATTCCATGTGTACATATATAGTTAGTTTTTTTTACTTATAATTCATTTAACTTGGATTTTGAGCAGTGTTCATCTCAACAAAGACGATCCAATCTGGAGTGGGAACATGACTCTAAAGGTCAATGCCACTGGTTTTATCCTTCATGTATATGCTAATGGAGAATATCTTGGTAAGATATTGGAATCTGATTTGTTAATGTATCTTACCTATTTACTTATAGCTTTGTTTGCTAACCTGTTAATTTTCTTTTTATTTTTCTAACCTCGGTTAATATAGGTTCTGAATGGGCTAAATACAATGACTACAATTATGTTTTTGAGAAAAATGTCAAGTTAAACCCCGGAAAGAACGTGATTTCCTTGCTGAGTGCCACCGTTGGATTTCCGGTTGGTATTAATTAACTGCATTGTTGTTTTAAGATCAATTAGGTGGTTGTGATTAGTTATATCAGTTTTAATTAATTTTAAAATTGTGGATTATGACAAGAACTATGGAGGTGGATTTGATGTGATAAATACTGGAGTTCCTGGTCCTGTTGTTTTGGTGGGACAAAATGGTGATGAAATGGTGATCAAGGATTTATCAGCACACAAATGGTCATACGAGGTTGGGCTACATGGCTTGAAGAACCAGCTCTTTAGCACCGATTCTCGTTACGCTGCTAAATGGTCAGCCGAAAACCTACCAATTAACAGGATGATGACATGGTACAAGGTAAGTAAACCCAAATGTTATAAACATTAAGCTTGTTTTAATTACTCAGTAACTCTTTAAGCAATATAATAATATTTGGTTATGTTTGCTTTGTTTCAGACAACTTTCAAAGCTCCTCTGGGAACTGACCCAGTTGTTGTGGACCTGCAAGGGTTAGGCAAGGGCCATGCTTGGGTCAATGGCAATAGCCTTGGGCGATATTGGCCCAGCTATTTGGCTGAGGAAGATGGTTGTAGCCTTGAAGCTTGTGACTACCGTGGCTCATACGATAACAACAAGTGTGTCTTCAATTGTGGCAAACCTACTCAGAGATGGTAATTACCAACATTTTTCTTTGGCTGCTCATCAAATGTTTTTCCTCGTTTATCTTAAATCACGATTTTAATTATATGTTTATTGTGTTTAAGGTATCACGTTCCACGATCGTTTATGCAAGACGGCCAGAACACTCTGGTTTTGTTTGAGGAATTTGGTGGCAACCCATCTCTTGTGAATTTCCAAACCGTCACAACTGGAACTGTGTGTGCAAATGCCTATGAGAAGCACACATTGGAATTGGAATGCCAAGGTCGTCCGATTTCATCAATCAAGTTTGCTAGCTTTGGCAAACCACAAGGCAGATGTGGATCATTTGAGAAAGGAAGCTGTGATGCCAAGAATGTATTGTCTATCATTCAAAATGTAAGTATTATTTTTCTTCCCCAATCTTTTTTTGTAAAATTCAAGTTGCATTTCCTTCTTAATTATGGAAATAAATATGTAACCTCCCTTTTTCAAACGTGATTTTATAGGAATGTGTGGGCAAGGAGAAGTGCTCGATCGATGTTTCAGAGAGCAAACTTGGATCAGCAAATTGTGGTGCTTCTGTGAAGAGGCTGGCTGTGGAAGCTGTTTGCTAGGGTTGTAGGGTTTCTCTTTTTAGATTAGAAAAGTTAGGTTTTATCTTAATTATTGTATTATTATGAGGTCAATTTGGTAGTAACCAAAGCTTTAATTAGGGGTAGGTTAGGTTGGTTGCTATCATTTTCTAGTTAGTGTCAAAGGCACTATAACTTTTTTATCTCTATCAATAAATTTCTTAGTTTTCTTAATTATATTCTTAGTTTCCTTAATGTTCATTACTTCTATCCAGTTGTGCTTGATGGTTATACATTTGAATTCAAACACATCATATAATAGAAGTTGGTTCCGTGATAAAATTGCAGGAAATTAAGTTATCATAAACAATTTCACACGTATTATAATTTTCTTATCCTAGTAAGAAGTTAGTCTTCGTATCCTAAATGTGAAGTAAGTCTTCATATCCTATCCTATTGCTGAAACTAACTATTTGGAAATCAACAAATCCTTTGTTTTCATCTTTTACTTCTTGTGAAATAACTAAGACGAATGAATTTTTTGTCATAAAATGAAATCTCTCGCCCCACTCTTCTTATTTAAAGAAATTTGTATTAATTTGAAAGAATTAAGGATTCACGTGAGTCCTCCCACCATATTATGATAGTGCACAAGTTTTGAGACCAATTCGAAATCAATTGGTCAAAAAAATTGAACACTTAGAGTTCGTACGAAGTTCGTGCCAAATTCGTACCGTGCAAGGGCTTGGATGCTTGTTTTCTTCATAATTGCATAGTTGGATACCTTCACAATTGAAGCTCCAATTTCCTCTTTGTACAGAGTCCCCCCACAAAAAACTTTTATTGTAGACCCTCCTTAGCAAGTGATGGAGGCATTAAAGCCAGATTTAGTAACATATCCTTTTAAAATTGCTTGCATAACAACTTGGGTGCTAGCTAAAGTTATTGGGGTGTAACAGTTACAGTAGCATGGGTTGTACCCTTTACAGCAACTTGAGTATTATCTCTGGTTGCTACACTAGCTAGGTTTAGCAAAAGGACCAGTAGGGTTAGGATAATAAGCACGCACGTGGTAATTGATAGGTGGCCCCCTTCCATTCACTTGCTGTGTGGACCCTCTGGATTTGGATTGAGATATGTAGAAACATGCTTGTTTAACACGTGAGTGCATTAATCTATTCCAATATTATTATTATTATTATTATTATTATATCCAGATAATGGAGAGTTGATCGTTCTATATTTTCTATGGTTGTTCTTCGTTCTTCAAGGAAATAAAAAAAACCTAAAATAAATGAATAAAATTTCCACTAAATTAAGCACAGAATAAATACATTTAGTTTCAAAAATCTATACGAGTCCAATTGTGTTGTTTGTACCAATTGCATGAACAAAATGCAATCTAGGATCTAGGATGGCATCCACAAAAATTGGTTCATCCATAATAGGGTTACGTAATCAAGCTTCGAGAAACTAAAACTTTCCGGAGCTCCAACCCGTATGAAAAAAATTAAAAATTAAAAATTCAATTTTTAATTTTTTTAATTTTTTTATATCTCAATTAGACTCTGTACGTGTACGTCTTTGGAAATTCCAATTTTAGAAATTCCAGAGGAAAGATTCCTGAGCCGGTATAACGCCGTCCAAGTTCTCTTCCGCGTAGTAATCAACGGCTGCCGTTGGCTCTGTCGTTGCTGGACTGAAAAACTGTCCGTTCAGCTCATCAAAACCCGGAAACAACCCGTATTCCGTTGCGTAATTACCCGACCCGAATGTCCTAAAAAGATCCGAAAACGAATCGTTTTGAGTCACTTGAAAATCACTGTCCATCAGGACCGTTCCACTCCCCTCCGACACCGACGGGGATGGAGACTGAGACTGAGACTCCGTCTGCAACTCCGACATCGATTGATCCGAGTGCTGCTGGGTTGTCGGAGGCTCCGAATTCGCAAACCTAGCCGCCTCGGCCTGGATCTCCGCCGGGCTGAGCGTCCGACCGCCAGAAATGTTGGGCGGGTTGTCAGGGAAATTAAACTTGGCGGTGCGGCCGCGCAGGCAGAAAAGCGCGGCGTCGAAAGCTCGAGCCGCCTTCTCGGCCGAGTCGTAGGAGCCGAGCCAAATTCGCTCGCGGCTGTTGGGTAGGCGGATTTCGGATACCCATTTGCCCCACTTGCGCTTCCGTACTCCCTTGTACTTGAAGTCGTTTCGTTCCGAGGGCTTCCCGATGGTCTGCTGCTGCTTCACCATGGACGACGAAGAAGACGACGCCGTTTCGTAGGAGTAGAAAATGGATTTGACTTTGAGTTGTGTTGAGTGATGTTTTGTTGTGAGTTTTGTTATAACTACTTGTATGCATCTGAGAAAGGAATTTGCGGCTCTGCGATATATATATATGTGGGTTTTGGGGGTGGGGCTTGGCCCCTGAGAAGCCAAGGGGTTTTTTTGACTGATGACTGTGGAAGGTCAACACTGCAGTGCAGAGGCGCGTATGCAGGGTTGCTGCAATCGTCAAAGTGGACACGTGGCTACTCCAGAGAGTGGTGTTAGGAGAGATTACGCGGGGGAAGAGTACTATGGGATTCGAGCACGTGTGTTATTCATTCCTCATGCTCCCTTTGTTAGAAAAATAAATAAATTTATAAACAAGGGAAGAGTAACGCCCCAAGTTGAATCTTATACTTATAAGTTATAATAACGTGTTTAGAATAAAACCCAAGGGGATATATATATATTTAAATTATTTATGTTACATCTAGAGTTCAAGATTCATCTTGGATGACAAGTTTTTAGTTCAAAGTCACAATTGGTTCCATGGGTTTTTTTTTTCTTAGTTCTCAAATACGAAACTTGATTATTGAGTCTCAAATTCTACTCTAATTTCAGGTATGGAACTTAAGGTTCAAAATCCTAAATATTAAACTTACATTTGAGGTTCAAGGATCTATGTTGCTGGTCTAGTGCTTGAATTTTTGTTTATAGATTCAATGTTTGAGATTTCAAGCTCCGAGTCCATATTTTAGATTTAGATGTAAATTATGAGTCGAATGTCAAATGTCTAAAAATAAGAGCTTTAATTCATAGAATAGAACCAAGTCAATTGCATAAATGAAATATGAATAATCCTAAACTTTAATTTGATAACTCTCATTTCATTGTATGGATGCTCATTCTCAAATTTATGTGTGAGTCAACCAATGAATACTTTTTTTTTGAAAGGACAATCAAAGGGATATTCATTCCATGGGAATGATCAATGATGTGATTATATTCCTCCGTACCAAACATTCACTAATAAGTACCTCATTTCATTGCGAATGAATCACCAATCATATATTCACCTCACAAATGATAAATTTGTTAGTTTAAACTTCCATAGGCTCTAAAAGGGTGAAGAAGAAAAAAAGTTACACGTAATAGGGAGAACACTATTTTGCTATATCTTATCAATAATATAATGATACGTGAAAAACTTATCATACGTGTTATTGCGTTATTAATTGGGAATAGCAAAAAGTATTATTCCTCATATTCTCTCTCCTAATAAGAATGAGGAGATTCTAAAAGTATATTCTAAATTAATGTGAAAAAAGCAAAAGTAAGATATTATTAATTAATTAATTGAAATTCAAAGTAAAAAAGTCCAAAACCGTGACCTCCCCCACCAGCTAGTAAACCTTGTCAACTGGGTCAACCCATCTCCATCAAACTCGCAAAGTACAGATACAGATAGATATAGATGCGTCATCTCAAACATAAGCACCAAATATTATTCTTAAATGATCAACGAAAGAAAAAACAAGAAATATATATTCAACAACGCGTAGATGCTCTAGTAAGTTGCCTTACATAATGCCAAATGACCTAACTAATATTGCGTCATCCAGATCCACACCCATGCCAATGCCATGCCTGTCCTCTTCCTTCTTCGATGCTTCATATGTTATACGTCGACATGTTCATGTTGTCGGAATGGTCTTATGGACTATTCAATCCCCTACATTTTAAACAATCAAAATCATATGTACTTTAGTTTATGTTACAACAATGATTCATATCGGAAGTTTTTTCGTCGTTTAAAACTTGTAGAACGATGCAAATCGTTAAATTAAACTAAAATAAATATATGGATAATCAAATGGCTAAAACTAATAAACAATTTCGATTATTGAATATGCGTTTGGAAATGGAGGATCAAATGATGAACGTTCTTTCTTTCTGCATTTGGAAATGGCTGAAGTCTAGTGCTTAAAATCTGGCCAAATTATGAATCAAAGAAGAGAACACAGTCAACTTTGACAAGCGTGCCTTTTGATTTGATTATAACACCATCTCAATAGTTAAGCTTAGCCGCCCACATGAAAATTAATCTCTCAAGGGCCTAGAATTTAAAGCATGTGATTAAGAGCATTTACAATTATGCTTCTTATTTTTCACTTAAAATTTAGCTAACAATATTAGAAAACTATTTTAGGAGCTCCTTATAAACCAAACAATCTATAAGGGATATTCATTCCATAGGAATGAATGACTTTGCTAATCCGTAATCGGAATTAAAATAAGGAGTTGAATTCATATTACGGATACTCATGTGTTTACTTCATGTGGAGGAATAAAAATGCAGGTGAGACCCACACAAAATCATAAATTCAACTCATGATTTTGGAGGAATTGGAACTCTTGGGTGAGAGGTGCTATTTTAAGGGCATTTCCACCTATTTGCCATGACAAAAGGCAAGGGGAGGCCATGGTTATTACTATTCACATGAATAGGATATCCCATAGCAATTTTTTTGTTGGTTTTCCACTCATTGTCACCCAAGGGCAACCACTATTCACATGAGATATGAGGAGATGAATTTGTATAGAATTTTTGTGTGGGAAGTGAAGAATATGACTAGGTATTTATTTATTTATTTTTTTAAATTCCAAAATTTATAAAATTGTTGGTTTTTTTTTTGTTATGTAATTTGGATGATGATGTCATAATGATGTCAACATTAGGTTAGCTTGACCAGACAAGTCTTGCACTTGGGCTTGCCTAGGTTGGTGGAGCCAAGCTCTTGCCATGGCAAGACTTGGCCACTGAAAACACATTTGGGGGCCTGGGGGGCCTCCCAGTAGAAATGCTCTAATTCCTTGAGAACCAACCTATTAGGTATCCATTGAGATTTTAAAATTCCTAATTTGTCATATACTTTAACCCAATAACAATGGAATTTTAGTAATCAATTTGGCTTATAATTCAATTCCAATTCATGGGAATTTAGTAAACAACTTATAAGAAATCAGTACCACTCCTACCCCAATTCCATATAATTTAGTAAACAACTCCAATAAAAATTTGGATAACTCTCCTCATCTGATTAGGGATTAATAAACATACCATAAAATTAGCTCATTTTCATTGTGAATGAATCTCCAATCATATATGACATGAAATCTTTGACCCCAAAAAACAAACATTGACATGAAATTGGTAATGGTAAATCCCTAGCAAAACTACTTAAATTAAACAAGTCAACTTGGTCAAGTCATCCTTAAATTAAATTAAGTAAGTACAAATATAGAAGCGTCATCTCAAACATAAGCAAGCCTATTTATATAATCAAAAGATTCAAAATAAAATAAAAAATAAAAAATTGACATCTGCCCAAAATGGATCATGTTCAACAACGCGTAGACACTAGTAAGCTAATGAATAAATAAGTTCATCGCGGAGGATGAATGAACAAAGTTTCCCACGTCAACATGCTCACGCAATGCGGTATGACAACCTACCCAAGATTGCGTCATCCATACGTCCCACATGCAATCAGATTTTGCCCTGTTGCTTCTTCGATGGTTCCGTAAGTTAACTTCCTATGTCCAGAGAACTTTTCTATATTAAGGATGTTTATGTTCTTTTCTATATTCCGATGGTCAGAATCGTTTATATTTTAAGTTCTGATTTAGCTGGTTTTTTTGTATAGATAGTAGCAGATGGCCCAAAGCAGAAGCAGAAGCAGAAGCTGGACCCATTTGGAATTGTTGACCCACTCGATCAGGCCCATTTTGCCAGAATCCTCTAGGTTGTGTGGTCGGGCGGGTACCCATGACCCACCCAAATTTAAGAGGTTGCGGTGAATGCAAAAAAAAAAAAAAAAAAGGAGTTCTAGAAGAGTCGTTTTATCATCTGATAAAACCCAAGCCTGCAAGTGCAAAGTTTAGGGTTTTATCTTCTTCACTCTAACTAAGCCACTGAGGTTTCCTCCTCATCTTCTTCCTATTCTCTCTCTCTCTCCCTTCTGCTTCAAATTCAAGAGGTTATTAGCTTTCCCTTCGTCGTTTCAAACTTGTATAGCTGCGTTTTATTCATTTGGGCAATTTTAATTTTTTCAATTGATATACTTTTTCCTTCATTTCTATGCTGAATTGTTTCATGTGGGTGATACGCAGAAATGGCCACATCTCAGCTGACAGCGTCTTCAATCTCGGCGAGGAACTTGGCGTCATTTGAAGGCCTCAGACCTTCAAACCTCAAGTTTGGGTCTCCAGTAGGAGTCTCACTTGTAAGCCACAGGTCCTTCCGTGGTCTCGCCGTCAAGGCGGCCACTACGGTCGCTCCCAAGGTTGTTATGTTTGCTTCTTCTTCGTTTTTGTATTGCTTGTTGTTCCCAATCTGACTATGCTTCATTTCTTTGTTTCTTTTTTATGGGTAAAATTTTGTTGCTTTGGGAAATTTTGCTAATTGTATGTCTAATTTTGTGATGATAATGATTTGAAAAACGAGTATCCGTACATGATTTGAATTTTTATTCTCTACCCATTTCATCATTTCCAGAGAGAGAATTTATGCCATTTGTAGTGAGAAGGGCTTTGTATTCTCTACTTATACATGTTTGAAACTATTGATGATCGTTGGGTTATTGTTAGCTCGGCAATTTGTTATATTCAGGGTTTTTACTATTTGTGGTAGGTTTACCTGTTTAAGTTTCGAGTTCTGTTTGCCCATCTCTCTAAAAGAACGATTTTTCGTGTTTGTTTTTCTGGATTTGTTATAAAATTAGCTCCGTTATTGAATTTGTTGTGTCAGTTTTATATGTGGTTTATCTGATGTTCTTTGGTTCTGATCCAATTCTGCAGTACACTTCGATTAAGCCTTTAGGTGACAGAGTGCTTGTGAAGATCAAAAACGTGGAAGAGAAAACTGGTGGTGGAATCTTACTCCCAACCAGTGCTCAGACAAAGCCTCAAGGAGGTGAGGTGGTTGCTGTTGGAGAGGGTAAAACAATTGGGAAGACCAAAGTGGGCATCAGTGTTCAGGTGCTTGATGATTGTACATGTCGTTATACTCGTTAGCTATAATGAACCATTGTCTGAGTTTACTGAATGTTTTCCATTTCATTATA